CACCATACTCCCAGCCCTCGGGCCCGAAGCTCTGGACTTTTCCTGCAGGCTACCTCGAGGACGGATAGTAGGAGATAAAAAAGAACAAGGTTTTTCGTGTTTTGGTCTTTTGGGTAACCCATTTGATAGCCAATTGTGTGTGTGGGACAATTATTTTGTAGCTAGTATACTGCGTAGAGAGCAAAGTATTCAATACGATATCGTCTCATTAATTGAGACCTTATGGCGATTGAGTTTCGTTTAGTGCTGATGATATTGGGTCAAGCATTTAACAGAAATTATCGGAAAAAGTCAGTATCTGATTGATCGGCATGGATGTGACCCAATGCCAATATTTGGACATGTTTCCTCTATGCTGGTAATATTGTTCTAGATGCTCCCTGTATCCAAAATGCTAGGAATAAGCGAAAAAGCAACAAAATCACTCAATTCATTCAGTTTCTTGGTTGATCAACCAGGGTTTGAGTCAAGTATTTCGTCTTGTTCAAATGTCAAATTCAAAGTAAGGATAGACTAACAATTTAAAGAAAGAGCGTTTTGGATTTCTAGACAACCTAGACATATAAAATTACTGTTACCAAAAGCATATTAGTTTTGTTGAGCTTGCTACAGTTATAAGAATAAACGCCTCCTGTCAGTTTCTATTGAAAGCCTCTGCTTGGACCAGCCCCACGCATTTATTAGGTCATTTACCGTATATTTAACAATTACTCCTTGAGCGTGAATGGGCTCTGAATCAATAGCCCATGAGGGCGGAGGCCAAATGGGCTATTGACTCAGACACCATGAGGGCGAGAGGAATTTATTGTTTAGTAAAATCCAACTAGTTGGTCAAAAATATCAAGAATAAAAAATTTTTAGCTAGTTAAAGTTAGACTTTAATCCTTTTTTGCCGCCAAAAAGCTGGTGCTTTTTGCTGCTAGTGGGCTATAACATATAGCCTAGTAGTAGCTCAACCAATCAGAACGCAGCATTGATAATAGACCACTAGTTGGATTTTACTAAAAATAAATAACTGTTTAACATCCCCATCACTTTGAATCCAGAGTACCCTGTTCACTTTGGGTGTTGGTAATGTCGTTGGTAACAGTAACTTCCGGACCTCCTCTAGAGCTGACTCTCTTTCTTTGACACCTAATCACTGATTTATTGAATCTTCACGTTCAGGTTATGCAGATAAAGGTATCAGTGATAACAGTATGATTTAAAATTTCTAAGTGATCTTCTTTCATTTTGCAGATAGGGGACATTGTTTATGCCCGATTAAGTGTTGCAAACAAAGACATGGAGCCGGAGTTGGACTGTACGGATGGCAGTGGAAAAAGCATGGGGCTAGGACCATTATAAAAAAGACAAGAAATAGCCTGCGAACGGCAGACGTTTCTCCTTGCTCATCGCCGCTGAGGGACGTTTATATAGAAAAACATAAAAACCCATAAAACGGCCATAAATCGGCCCGTGGACCACACAGGAGAGACGTAACACATTTTAAGTAAGGTAAACTGTTTTTAATTGAAATCCTTTCATTTTCGTAGGTTACAGAAACGATAGGTTTTTTTCCCATCCAAATCCTTATATTCATAATGTTACGCAACAGTGCCGATGCTCGCCGAAGCTCATATTTTGAGCTTGGGTTACCTGTGGTTTTATAGGTTGGTTTTGGCCAATTTTTTGTTTTCTCTGTGAGACATCAACTTGACACTTGGACTCTTGCCCCCCAGAAGACACGTGGTATGGCGTGATTCTGTGAGTGTTGAGAGTTCTAGCTCAGGGCTTAAATCAGAGTGCGCGGATATTTTTCACAAGAGTTTTCTCTGGTTGTTACGCCATACTGACGAGCCCCAAAGAGGGCGAAACAGCTGTCTATGGCTACAATCCCGCTCTGTTTTGAGTTTTTTGAGTTCTTTCTATTCGAATGAAAAGTGTTGAATAGACATAATTTCGTCCATTGCCGAATCTCCCTAAATCTGCAATGAAAAGATTTCCAGGTTAAGCCCTGGATCAACTCAATTTGTTTTGGCAATGAGTCTAAGCAATGCCTGTTCTTTAAAGTGTCCAGGAGCGCAAACTAACTCCTATTTTGATAAATCGCGAAAATTGCCAGCTTTTTCGTTAGGTATCAGGCCCGTCTTTTATACTTTTTTCGGTAGACCAGTGTTCGTATGACAAAAGTTTAGCCCTGTCTTCTTAGCACTTTGTATCCGTAGTTTTTGTTGTAGTGGTACTTTTCAAGGTACAGTTTAGTTTCGCTGTCTTACTAGCCATTTTTGTTTCGTGCATTTATTAGTTTTTAGTTTTTTCCTCCTCTGTTTTTCTTGGGAAACTTCATTTCGAAACGTCGGGGCAAATTTTCACCGTTTATTTTCACCGTCATTTACCCATTTTTCGATTGCGCATTTTAAGCATTGCTGAGAAATTTTTTCCTTTTTCTCCTGCTTTCCACCCTTTTAGATCTCCCATCACACGCCCTTTCCTCTCCCATCTCCCAAACCCCTCCGAGTGGTTCCACCCCTTATTCTCCGCAGCCCCCGCCCCCTGTCCACCTCCAACAAATTCTTTGTCCATTTTCGCCCCGCTTGTACCGTAAATCCTTTGTTATTCCATTCGTGCTTAGAAGTTTTATTTTAAAGTTCTCTTAACGTTCCTCTAAGTTCGTTAAATATCATTATTAAGCGACTACGTAACTGGCCCAATGCGCTTGACCGGAAAATCTTTACCGCGCCTAACCGGTTAGTTATTTCCACCTCTGTTTCAGCAAAGATTTGAGTCGAGAACAGAGAAAGCCAGTTGTTCCATTGTTAATATTAAGTAACTGAGGCTTGCCTAATTATAACTTGTGGGAAGTGAATGAATCTGGAACCAGCTTCAAATTGATAACCCATGGAGTTTAACTCCATTTATTAAAACATAATACAACAACTGTTGCTAAAGGTACTAAGGTCAATTGTCAGGAATCTTCCGATTGCTTCTAACACAAGAGATTTTCCCGATAATATTCACGTTAAAACGACCAACAGACTCGAATCACTTCACAATTAATTTTAATGTTAACGCTATAAGGATGATTACAATCGCCAGATCTCCTTGATTCGCACATACATCCCGTCATTACAGCTTATCACTAAGCAACTAGATCAAAGCAATCGAGTTCACTTTCACAGCGTGACATGTCACGCGGTCCATTTTTCCAACACAATGACTCTGATTTAACTAAACTTATGAAGCGTGGGCTGTGATAAAAGGCTATGAATATACGTGTAAAAAGAAAGTATTAAAAAACATCTGGATTTGTATGGACTGGGCCTCAGATAAGCAAAACAATAATTTTGCACGTGTAGCGCACTTTTTGATGCATTTCTTTGTCGTCACTGCACGACCACGTCCTTATGCGGCGTTTTATGGAGGACGTAAACACACGACGAAGAATGTTTCTTTCTCTTTCTTAACTGGATAATCAACTTCGCGAAAATTCACCCACATTTAACATATTAAGGGAGATGAAACAAAAAGCGAAATCGTCTGAAATTTACAGTTGTTTGAAACCCGCGCTAGCTCTAGCCTCTGGAAAAAAAAGTTCCAAGAAAAACCTTGAAAAAGAATGTAAAGAGCCTTAAAACCTCGAGCTTGGTAATTTAGGATACAATTAAGAAAAAAAATTCAAGTTGTATGTTAAGAAGGATACTTAACCCGATAACTGTCCTCTAAAAAAACATAAAAAAAAGTTTGTCTTAATTTCAAATCTTGAGCCCGCGTAGAGAAAATAAATGGTTTTAAAATGATGAATCTGTGGGTGACAACTTTCATTTCAGCCCAAAAGTTTTCAACGTTCTGAATGACGAACATTTTAGCAACCAAATATCAAACTATGGTATTGCATGAACAACCATTATATATCGTCGGTGAAAGACCTCGGTAAGACATTACAACGTCAGTCTTTTACGAAAAATTCGCTGTGCTCTAAAATAAACTTCGGTGCAATCCAACATGGCGGTTGATCTTCTCATAACGTGAGATCAGGCCCAATTTTAGCGGTTCTCATACATTCTCTCTAACGGCTACCGCTAAAATTGGGCCTGATACATGTTTGTGCTCGTTACGGCCAGATTTTGGCCGTAACGCTGATTGGCTGGTAGAACAATGCTACAAGATCTGATCGGCTGTTGGAAACGCCGGAAGTTGAAAGCGCTTATTCCTCGCGTGGTTGTTTTCGTGAATGATCCGCCGTCGGCGGAGAGAAGGATCGATTTTGCTGTCTTTTATTGTTTTATATCTTCTCAGGATTTTCTTTATTTACGGAACTAATGTGAGTGTATCGCGGAGTTGAATCTCTCCGCAAGTTGTTGACCGCTAACAAAGTGCCTTTTGATTTAAAGATAAAAGCTATTTTTCAAGTCAGCCAGCCTGCATTTTTCTCACGCATGAAAAATTTGTATACTAGAAAAACAAGCCACGGAAGTATAATTTTGGTTGGCTGATTCGACAAATGTCAATCAGTCAAAAAAGTGGCCGGAAGACGTTTCGTAGAAGGTTTGTATCAGGCTCTGTTTTCGTTTCGCCTTACCCGCCGGAATGTTATTACAGAGCGAAACGAAAATTGAGCCTGATCTCAGGTTAATCTTCTCATATAGTGGCTAACTTTTAAGGCTCGTCATTCAGTTAAAACCTTAATCGCTTTATATTTCTTTGATCTCATCCGCTGATTGTTGGAAATCCTACTCATTCCCGCTTTTTTTCCGTGAAAGATTAATCTATAAATAGCCTAGTAAAAATCTAAACACACTATAAGAGAGGCTTACATATCTGGATGATGGGCTCCTAATTAGATCTGGATGGCCTTACTGTTACACATTTTTTGTTATGATTAAAGCTCCTCTTTTGTTAGTTTTAATTCTTTTAGTATTTTCTTGGCTTATTTTCTAAGTCCATTACATGCATTTAGCTGTTTATACTTGTTCCGTCTTAAACTGTCCGATTATTGGGGATGCTCTTTCTTCTGCATATTAATCAGCACTAGCTTCAGGTGGCACGTTGTAATACGGATGATATTCATTGTGTTTGTTTACATTCAAATATGGTGCATCCCTTTCCATTATCACCTCCATTTTTTCGATCAAACGGTAGAAACTGGGACGAATGTAAGGGTCTTCGTTCCAACAGTCAGTAATCAGCTCATATCTGTTATGAATGGAGAAAAAAAAACCATTCAATGCTTAGTAGAGCTCCAGTCAATTATTAGAGAGTGTCAATAGATCTCTTTATAGCTTGTATGTTTTGGTTTCCCAAAAGAGGTCCCAGGGGAATTTGACCGTTAGACATGACCTGTATTGGCAAAACAAAACATACAAGCGAAAGAGGTCTATTGGTATAAAAGTAAAATTTTTGGTAGAAGAAGCTTTTTAGCTTCATGAGTTTACGGGGAGGCTCCACCCTGAGGTCCAACCCTTTTTATACAGCATTTTTGACAGAACACATACCCCTTTCGTATACATTCCTTTCCTACCTACCTTGAAAAATGGTACGACTACTTCGCTTTTTAAGCCATTAAGCCCTTAACATTAAGCATACAATAAAGTACATCTGTTTAAAATATCTTTCAGTGTAAATTACCGAAGTTACAAAATTTCCTACCATTTCAAACATTTTAGCTCGTGAAATTCCTACCTTTCCATGTACATGTGGCCTAAAAAGATACTCCTTTTGGGTGAAGCTTCCACGTAAAGCCCATTAAAATGGGCTCTTGGAACGTTTTGGTTATCACGTGATTCCCCATTCCTTCATCCAGCCATTATTATGTAAAGCTCCGCCCCGAGGTCCAACCCCTTATCCTTTTGAGTGACATTTTTGACAGAAACGAACTTTAACTTTATCCCCTTTAATTGCTGAAAAATGCACTTCCTTTGAAAAAAGGAATAACAAACTAGAAACTTTTCTCGACTTTTTCTCAGCCAAGAAATCTTTTCTGGTCGAAAAAGTCGAGAAAATTTTCTAGTTTGTTATTTTGCATTTTACATTTTACAGACCGAAATGACAGATTTCCCTACCCTTTCATATACTTCGACTAGCAAACTTCCTATACCAGAAGACTGAGAAAGGTCCCCCTTTTGGGGGGTGCCTTGCCAGTACGGGGAATACTCGCTCCGGCCACAGGAAAAAGATTAACCTAATCACTGCTAATGATGCAGTTATTGACCGTAAAGCTAATGGAGGATTTTCTTGTTCAAAGAGTGAGGATCCCAACAAACGCTTTCCCTTGCCGTTCGTCTGGTCAGTATTTAATATGATCAAAGAAGGCGTTAAAATATTTGACGAATTCGTATGCTGCACCGTTCGGTGTGAAATGTAACTGAGCAGGCGCACAGAAGAAATCGAATCTGTTTGTTAATAGATTCTGGTGAGATTAGTTCTTTGCATGTGCAGTAGCCTCGTGTACAGTCCGGAAAGGTACGCTATTGGTCATGGCTCGTCAGCTATGTTGAGACTCAACCAGTCGCACGGGTATGGTACGCCTCCTGATGATTGCGAGAAAGAAAACAAATGATTACATATCGGCAACTGAATACACGCAATTTTCCATTGGATAGATTTCTATTAAAGGTGCCTTAGTCGATTGTCGTTTCTCCTCATATAAACTCCATAAGGGCATTTTGCAAAAATTGTTGATTGAATAGAGGTGTGATATATAGCCAATGTGATTATATAACAATAAGGCTTCTCGTTTCCAGTGATCAAATGCTCGCAAATTTAATATGTATTGTCACATACGGTTATCATACGGTTATCATCTAGGAGATGTCTCACAGCACTTAATCAATTAAAACAAAGGCCAGATCAAACAAGAAAATTCAAACTTGCCGCAAACGAAATATTATGAAACACTGTTTTCGCCCTTGCTGGTAGCAGTAACCTCGATAACAATCGTAACAGTTAAGCAACATCCCACCATGGCAAAAGGGGGAAGGTGGGTTAAGGCACGGTCCCCTTAATTCCCTTGGAAAGCTCAAAACTTTGCAGTGTAAAACCATTATCCTGAGGGTCGTGCATGAGTTTTCAACATTTTGACATCATTTCTACGGTCGATAAGAGTCATAGACCATGAAAAATGTTTTTTTGATTTGTCAGTTAACCTCAAATTTAACATGACAACAATAAACTGCAAAATTACCGTCCACTCACCCAAGGTGGCTATTTCCCAAAGAACAACACCAAAAGACCAACTATGAAAAAAAAACAAACAAACAAAGAGATTATAAATATGTACAGATTCACGGCATTTAGATTGTTTATTTCTCTGTTTATTTCTTAACTCCTTTTATTTGTGGTGGACGAACCCAAAAATGCGTGTACTTTTGAGTTTTGGATGTAATTGAAAAATTAAATTGAAAACTGTCTCAACCAGAGGAGACTGTTCACTGCATGTAAATCACTGCTTAACCTATCGAAGTGTGCCAGTCTTCCTCTACATTCCGATCTTAATCAATTAATGACTAACGATTTTGACAAGTTCTTCCGTGACAAAATTAACTTCATTCGGCTTGAGATTGCACGTCAAGGTAGCACTTCCGATGTTAGCGAATCCCACTTTGCACTTGATGGCCTCTCTTCTTCTGAATTTCGTCTTCTTTCTGAAACCGAGGTTCATGAACTAATCAAAGCATCTACAAAGACGACTTGTTCTCTGGCCCCCATTCCTACTAAGCTTTTTACTGAGCGTCTTGATGTATTACCTCCTCCAATTACAAAATTATTAACCTTTCGCTGGAATCAGGCTATTTTCCTCTCATCTGAAAGCGCGCTTTGTTAAACCACTGCTAAAGAAGGAGGGTGTCGACCTCATCTTTAAGAACTATAGACCTGTGAGTAACCTCGCATATGCCTCAAAACTTTGTGGAGACTGCGGTCGCCAAGCAACTTCAACATTATTTATTCAACAATGATCTCTTCCCTGTTCTGCAATCAGCTTATCGTCCCAAACACAGCATAGAAACAACACTTCTCAAAGTCACTAACGACATCCTCCTTAACATAAACGATCAACGTGTCACTCTGCTTCTTCTCCTCGACTTAAGTGCGGCTTTTGACACTGCCGATCACAACACTTCACTGCATCGACTTCAGTTCACATTTGGTATAAATGGAAAAGTCCTCTCCTGGTTTTCGTCTTACCTGTCTGAAAGGTCTCAGCAAATAGCCATCAATGAGAAACTGTCTGCAGAATTCAGGTTACAATGTGGTGTCCCTCAAGGTTCCTGTTTGGGCCCCTTATTATTTACTCTGTGTTAGAGCAATCTCTTCGAGATCATCAAACATCATTTTCCTACGGTTTATTGTTATGCTGACGACACGCAGGTATACATCTCATTCTGCCCAAACGACAGGCTCGATCAACTTAATGCTGAAGAGTTACTGGAAAGTTGCATTACTAATACTCGTTCTGGGATGTCGCATGACAATCTTAAATGACGAAAAAACTGAACTTCTTATAATAGGTACACCACAACAGCTTCAGAAGGTAGTTATCACTCATATTCGCGAGGGTAACACCAGCATTCACCCTGTGCCTGTCGCTAGGAACCTTGACTAGGGGTTAGATGCCAGTCTCTCTATGACGGAACATATTTCGAAAATTTGCAGCTCATCATTCTACTATTTGAATAACATACGTCGGATCCGGAAGTATCTCTCCAACAAGTCAGCAGAGTCACTTATTCATGCTTTGATATCAGTTTGTCTTGACTAAAGTAGCAGTTTATTGTATGGTCTGCCAAACTGCTCATTGATCAAATTACAACTTGTGCAGAATGCCTATGCTAGACTGATATTTACTGAGGGTAGATTGTCACATAACACCGCTCCTTATTAAGTTGCATTGGTTACCGATTCACTCTAGAATTGTATTCAAGATTCTTCTGTTAACTTTCAAGATCTTGCATGGCACAGCTCTCACTTACTTGGAGTTACTGATATCTCTGAAGCCTCAGTCATGCTATAACCTGAGACGTTCTAGTGACACCCTCTTGCTTAAGCAACCCTCATTTATATCTAAATCGACACTTGGTGATAGGTCGTTTACTTGAGCTGCACCAAAACTCTGGAATGCATTGCCATTTGAAGTCAGAGACTCCAAGTCGTTGGACATTTTTAAATCAAAGCTAAAGACGCACCTTTTTTGTTTAGCATTTTTATCATAACCTGCTGCGCAATATCATATTAGCATTAGTATTGTTAGGCAGTATTAGTATTAGTATTAGTAGTAGCATTAGTTTGTTTTATTATCTTATTATTATTATTATTATTATTATTATTATTATTATTATTATTATTATTATTATTATAGTAGTATTAGTTATTGTATCCAGTTTCCCACTGTATGGTTTTATTGTGAAGCGCATTTGAACATTGAATGGAATTTGCGCTATACAAATTCATTCATTCATTCATTCATTCATTCATTCTTCTTCTTCTTCTTCTTCTTCTTCTTCTTCTTCTTCTTCTTCTTCTTCTTCTTATTATTATTATTATTATTATTATTATTATTATTATTATTATTATTATTATTATTATTAATTGGAGAATTGTTAAGGACAGGAAGAATCCATTTTTAGCCATATTTAGACAGGGATGCCTACAATTCTATGTTTCCATATTAGGGCAAACAATTTTCCGTTCTTCTGATTGGACGGCTAAAAACCAACCTTAGCATGGTTATAAACAAATAAGGAGAATTTTGGCGCTTCAGAGTTATATTCTTCTGTAATTTTTATGGCAACTACAATTGTGAGAAGTGACTCAGTAGAAACGTTTCAATAGTTCATTTGTCAAGGGAGCGGGAAAACTCATCACTCACACATCACTTTTGGTCGTGTAAACGCCTTGATAAAGTGATTCTGGGGCCATCCACTTTACAGGAAGTTTTTTGGACTTCGTTGAGCTGCTCACATCTTCATAGATTTGTCTCATCAACCCAAAGTCTGACACTTTGATCTGGTTGTCATGGCCAACAAGGACATTACGTGCAGCAAGGTCTCTGTGAACAAGGTTGTTTTCTGCGAGATGATTCTAGTAACAAATAAGCAATGAAACAACGATTAAAATTATCTCAAAACGTAATAACGGGGGTACGCCGTACACTAAGTAGTTAGGTATAGCTGAAAAATCCAAATGAAAAGTAAATATCGGCACCGATCTGATCCAGATATTTACGTTCAGACGCATAACGAAACGAATTCAGCCAAAACTGGGTCGATCGAAAAGAACACTTAGTTTCACTTTTTCCATATAAGCCATCTTAATGTACTCATATCTAGAAAAACAGCCAATATATTTATCTCGTCTATTTCATGTTTATAAAACATTGACTTTTGAATTCTTCTTTACAAGTTATACTTAGAACCAGAATCCAAGCAACATTCGACCTAGAAAACAAAGATAATTACCATTCCTTTAACTATTTGCCAGGCAAGTGAAAACAGTTGTTTGGTAGAAAAGTTCTCCTCTACGTCACAAGGATCCTCGCCTGACTCCTCTAGGTTTTCAATTGAAAGTGGCATTGCAGAAGCTTGATTTTTTCCTAGTGATGCCGATGGCCTGGTCAGAAGTTCTTTGTCATTTACTTTGAATTCCTCATCCTAATTAAATTGATGAAAAAAAATATCAAATTTTTGGTTTAGCTTGAAACAGCATAGCTTTCAAGTAATTACTTTCCTTGTTAGTAAATAAGTAACTAACGGATAAAAAGATAAAAATAACATAATTTGCTTATACAAGTATTATCTATTGAAAGTAACTTTAAATTGACCAGTTTAGAGCTAGATAAAATTTGCTTTGGGTCCAGGGTACTGTTTTCAAGCCTAGGATGAAAATCCACGCCCACAGTTTGATGTTTACCCAGAAAGCCTCGGCCACCTGATGATACACGTGGTACTGATTAAAAACAACACACCATTTTCCTAGACGATTCCTTATATCAGCCATCGTTCTGGACGTCATAAGCCCGCAACTGAAAGTAGCTCAAGAGAATGGAAACAAGACGCTGAAACGCAAATCCAAGACAGCGCAGAAAAGGTACACCATCGACGAAACACATTAATGGCACAGGAACACCAAGATCACGTTGTGTCCTTCTAACGTGAAACGTAAGCAAAATAAGCGCCCTAGAGGCAAATTCTTCTTTATTAGTGAATAATTAATTATTATGGTGTTCTTGTTTTCGTCTTACATCTACTTCGGTGGAAGTCGATGGAATCACTTCAAGAACGGCATCTTTGTTGCTTTGTTGATGAGACACTGCAATGTCTTCTTGGTCTTGGTGTATAGAATGTTGATCCTCCCTAACTTCGTACTCATCAGCCAAACTTTGCTAAATGATTAAAGAAAATGGCGATGACATTTAAATGTAGAAAGAACTTGTTAAGTATTTCTTTTCTACAAAAAAACTTAGTTTCGTGGAAAGCCTACTTGATTCCCAAACCTCTCTCAGATTTTTCTAAACGTCTTTATATTTAACTAATTCTTTCATAAAGAGGCGCTTCTCGCTTCCCGGATCATTAAATCAAGAGACAACTTTTGCATATCACACTTGACTAGCGCAATCGATAAAAATCGATATCAGAAAATCAATTGTCAGCGCTATCGTTTTTAACTATTTTAACGATATTATTGATTGCCTCATTTTCTTCGTTTAACCATTACCATTCTTTTATATGATATATCGTGGAATCTTGTATTCTATCCTTTCAAGTATACCTCAAATTTCCACTCTGTTGTTGCTCTATGGAATGAATTTCGGTGAATTAAAGACTAAAGTTCAACAACAACCAGATGACCTACCGATGCCAGGACAAAAATCTAGGTAAAACGTACTTAGTCTTAATAAATAAATTTGAAAATTAACTCATGATTACGTTTTGTGGTATAAGAAACACTTATAAAAAGGCACAACCACAACGACAAACCAGTGAGGATCAGCCGGACCTTTACTAGGCCTGATCAATACCAAATTTAGTTTTGTAGAAAGTCTACTTGATTCCCAAACCTCTCTCTGATTTTTCTAAACGTCTTTATATTTAACTAATTCTTTCATACAGAGGCGCTTCTCGCTTCCCGGATCATAAAATCAAGAGACAACTTTTGCATATCACACTTGACTAGCGCAATCGATAAAAATCGATATCAGAAAATCAATTGTCAGCGCTATCGTTTTTAACTATTTTAACGATATTATCGATTGCTTGCCAGGTTCAAAACCCGATAATGCATTATTTTACAGCAAATTATATTAGCAACATGCAGATGTTTTCTGTTTTAAATGATGATTTCATCTCACATTTTTATCATGTTTTATGGTCATGCTACTTCTCTTTCCATTTAGTTCCAGAGTTGATCATCTTCTTTGTTAGTGTATATTTAATTATTATGGTGTTTTTGTTTTCGTCTTACGTCTACTTCGGTGGAAGTTGATGGAATCACTTCAAGAACGGCATCTTTGTTGCTTTGTTGCGGAGACACTGCAATGTCTTCTTGGTCTTGGTGTATAGAATGTTGATCCTCCTTAACTTCATACTCATCCGCCAAACTTTGCTAAATGATTAAAGAAAATGGCGATGACATTTACATGTAGAAAAATACATTGCGATAACGACCAAAAGTGACAGTGCGATAATTTTTATTTTTAGTTTTGGCAAATTATCTATTTCAGATCTTAGACCCTTTACTTTCTTCCATTTATATGTTTCCGGGTCGCCAAGATTCAGGTCTGTGCAATTTTTCATGCGCGAGAAATTTTTGAGAATTTTTTTACCTAAATTTATAGAGCTTTATATGGAGACGCATTGTTGGTGCCCATCCGGATGGTCACTAACATTGCTGCCGGAAACCAACAGAAACATGTGTCACGGAGTTGTGCTACTTAAGGGTGAATTCATCTCTTGAGGAACTCATTAACATTGACATTGATACAATGTTCATTCAGATAGCAAAATCCCCCCCAACAGAGTCACTTTTCCAGCCTTCATGGCAGCACTGTCGTCCGCTCATTGTCTGCATGCCTTATCCACGTTCAATATAATTAAATTTAAGAAAAAAAAAGACGTTGTTATGTATTTCTTTTCTACGAGACTGCCTTGAAAAGTCGACGACAGATCCTGTCGCACATCATCATTGCTTTCTTTTGATAACGATATATAAATTTAAGAAAAATAAATTCAATGAAATATTTAGGTATTTCCTTCATACAGGACGGCCTTGAAGAGTCGTCGCCAGGTCCTGTCGGACTTCATCATTAATGCTTTTTTCTGATAACGAAATTTCGTTCAACTGCTGCTCCCACTTTGTCCGATCTTTAGCAGGTTTACCTTCCTTTGTAAAAAAACAAAAAACAAAAACGAAAACCTTATTAAATTATTGGTCCAGTACTGGCCATTTTCTTCGTGTAACCATTATCATTCTTTAATATATAGAAGATATATAAAATGTAGAAGAAGATTGAGATTGCTTCAAGAAATTAAACGACATGCAAGCAGATATAAAAAAATTGCCGGGGTTTCCCATTTTTAAAAGATCAATCCATCCTGCACTTAGCTTTACATTCACGATAAATGGGTGTAATACAGGGAAAATGTTCATTTGACTCGTCTCAGTCTAGGAAATTAAAAATCTATGGCTCTGGCACTGCTCAACAAGCTCATGCTTGTTTAGAATGGACACCAATGGAGAAACTGATCACCTTCAACATGACTTGTTTGTGGGCATTTCATACAAATTCACTCTTGTATAGGTATTTGTTTTTTTATGCATGTACACGAATAACTCTGAACACTTGCCTAGGTGATAAGAAATTGGTACTTTTTACATGGATTCAGTGCTTTACGATGAATGCCCGCATATTCAATGATCATAAGTCATGATCACTTTAATAATTCTCATGAACTGCATCCTTAATGACATTGCTACTTGTAATTTTCTATTTCAGTGATTATGTTTGCACTTTACTGTTACAAACAATAGTTGTCAAGTCTGATCATGTACCAAAAAAGTGCAAACACTTTTATAGTTGTAGTTCACCTAACAATAAATTTTTTCTCCAATAATTTACCAGCATTTAGTTGTTGTTTTCACTGCAGCATTCATCTCCTACCATTGTCATCCACTCACTACTACTGACACATTTCACAAATAATTATTATATTTAAGGGTGAGCTTTTATTAAGCAAATGCAACTGCATATTAGTCATCAGTTATCCACTATCACCCCCATTTCCTTTTGACCATCATTACACATGTAGGAGGGTCAACTGGGGTGAACGTGGGATGGGACCTATGCAGCATTGGCTAACAACATCAACCCCATTTAAATCTCAGAAGATCCTTTTAAAGCCAGAGCACTGGGTTCAAATTTTTAAAAAGTACATCTCAGCTTCCAATATTAGACCCGCCCTCCCCAGTTACATGATTTACTTCATTTTTCTCCCGTCCTCCCACCCCTTATGGGCTTCCCACACCCCCGAGCTTCGCGAGGTTCTGCGATACACGTATTTCTAGTTCTTTATTTTGAATTATGATTATGTTACGTGCAAACCATTCTACGACAACCAGACATAAAACAAACAAGCAGTCTGGATAATAAACGTTTTAGGACAGAGCTAGTATGGAAAGTTAAACTACAGTTTATATACAAGCCTACATGATTTCTGGTCTCTCTCTGATCTTTCAGAACCTCTTTGTCAGCATAAGATCTCTCGGTAGCTTGAAGTTCTTTGATCTAAACATCAAGCAAGTAACAAAAAAGGTACTTTACGTCTGCATGGCTTCAAGCGATCCAAGAGTCAAAAGCTATTATCTCCATACTAGATTACGGCGCCTAATTCGAGGCACACCAGGTTTTATGGACTAAGGCCTGTTTCAAAGGTCGTGCTACTGCCGTGCTGAGCTGGCTCGACGGTAGCTCGACTGCAGCACGACATTAGCACGACTTGGTATCAGATGTCGAATTTAGTTTACACAATGACAGTCGAATGGAACGGCTGTTGCCAAAGACAAAACACAAAAATAAAGAAACGGTTTAGCAAACTTTTAAATATATTCTAATGTAATGATAATTCATGAATTGAGTTCGGCACGGCGGTAGCACGACGTTAGAAACCAAGTCGAGCTACTACTGTGCTAAAGTCGAATTTAATTCGATCAATTGAGTTCGGCACGGCAGTAGCACGACGCTTGAAACGGGCCTAAGATTCGTAAGGAGGATTTTAATACCATCTCTATGTTGTTACACCCAAGGATGAAATACCATTAAAACAAAAATAATAATGGTAATAAATATTAAATAATTATTATTGTTAGTATTATCATTAAAATGCTTTTTTAATTTTGAAGTAACTCCAGTTGCTTAAAAAAAGCTGTACAAAATCTTCAGATAGTACCAAAATATATTCGTAATGTTGTCTCCCTATACCACAGGCGACCCAAACTCACGTTGCGAGGGAAGGGTGTAATGTCATTTACATACCATAGGTGACGCGCCGGTGTCGCGTTAGAGGCGACCGTTGAAAATATCAGAGACTTTGTATGAGAAATATATTAATGAGATATGCGCACGCTAAATAAAGCTAAACCTTACTTTTTCTTAAATGAATTGAATAAAAAAGACTTACCTGCAATTTATTCCACCGCGTTTTGGTGTCTGTTTGTCGTTTTACTGTTTTTTTTTTTTTTTTGGCTTGATTGCGTAACCACTGTTACTACTTTCATAGAATGAAGTGAAGGCTGGTCACTTCGATCTGTCGGGGTCCTGGACCAGTCGCAACAAGAATGCCGTTTTTTTCGCCGAAATCCAAATCCGCTGCAAATTTTTTAGCTCCGGCCTATGAGGGAAACCTCTTCTTCCTCTCTGGGAGATCGGCTCGAAAAAAGATCCATAATTTCCCCATTAAATCGAGCCATTTGTGCCGGACTTCGAGGCACGTCTGGCTTTCGTCCAGTGCCTGTGACCACTGTCGCGCTTACCAACTAATTTGCATTATGACAATTGGCACTTACACGACGGGTGACAGGGCGCAAATGACACGTCAACGACTAGGCTCTTGCACTCTGAAAAAGCGAGTGCTTGCACCTGTCGTGTAAGTGCCAAATTTCATAATCCATGTAGCCGATTTTACTTGTGGGAACAGATCCACGATCCAGTCAGTGTTACGTGAATTGCTTTTACAGTCAAACCAGGTCAAGCGTACCCCCCAAGAATACATTAATGAATTTATTATTCAAAAGTTGAATCCGTTGCTAGTTGTAGATTTCAGATTGATCTCTGCATTCTTGCATGTGTAATGAGCCGTGAATTCACACGCGAGGCAGTTATGAAATTTCTACCTGCTCCATTTTCCTGAAATTGATGTAAATGTCTTCTAAGAAGCTTAATCCATTCAAAGATTTCCAATCTGACCAAATACAGAGAAGTTCTCGTAAAATATTCACTGCTCATTACGCATGCAGAAATGCCGCTTTGAATTTGACACCAGTTACGGGAACGACTAACGGATTCATTTTTCAAATAATCCATTCATTAATAGAATCATGGGGAGTACGCTTGACTTGGTTTGACTGTAATGGTAAACTTATGGGTTTTCGAATAAAAATTTTCAAGAAACAATATGTCCGTTTATTGTTTTCTGTTTGTTCATCCATAACATTAGTTGAAAACATGATCGCCGGCATCTAATTAAGTGTTATTAGACGCATCACTTCTGCGAAGATGTCAGCGAATTTTATGCAATTTTTACTTTCGAGTTCAGCAACTACTTAATTTTATTTGAAAATGTGTTACTAGTTATTCTAGATAGATAGTAAGTGATTTTTTAAAGGTTGTTTGGGCTAATGGTCACGCAAAAACCGTTTTTGAAGTAACAACTTTAAGAAATCGCTTCTCTTACGGTGCATGTCATTTGTAGTCGACTTTGTCTTGTTAGGAGGAACTAACTCAGTCCTGGTCATTTGAGGTCATTTAGGGATTAATACTGTATTCCGTTTTTCGTAAAATATTACCCTGTATTAAACACTTTTTGCGCCGCTTCATTTACATCGCGATACAAGTTTCGCGCGACAATCTCGCTTATCAGTAATTCCATATTAGGAAGTAAATTTTGATTGGTTCCCTAAAAAACCCGAGCTTTGCGACAGAGTTACACGCTTCGGGGTTATTATGCTTCTGATTTCTCATACAAAGTCTCTGATATTTTCAACGGTCGCCTGTAACGCGACACCTTCGCGTCACCTATGGTATGTAAATTGCATTACACCATTCCCTCGCAACGTGAGTTTGGGTCGCCTGTGCCTATACATGTTTCTTAATAATTTCGTTATAAACTAATTGTATAATTGTTCATCTCCTTACCCTTTTTCTTCTGCGGCGTAGCCACGTCAGCAGGTCACCACACGGAACGTATTCTACAACCAGGAACATTTTCTCCTGAAGCTTACAGCATCCAACCATGGATACAACGTTCTTATGTGAACCCAACAGCTTCATCTGTTCAATCTCAAACGTGAACTCTGCTTTCTGTGCTTCAGATGGATTATCTTAAGATAATGAAATAAAATGACATTGATTCTATTATCGTTATTCTTCAGCATTATTCAGTGCAAAATATTTCATTTGAAAAACATATTCGTCCATTTTTACCGCTTCCCACTCATCCTCTAATGCACAAGGGTATTTAAAGATGTATTCTACCGAGTAATAGAATATCGAGAAATATTCACACAATTGTTATTATTTTTAGTCTACCACTGCATGCACCCTCCCAGCAGCCCCGGGAGGTACTCCTGGAAAATTCGGGTGGCGGTGTGATGTCACTATGTGGATTCCCTCACTACCTTAAATCGCTGTTCATAAAAGGCGAATGAAAACAAAAATAGGTAGATAGGTAGGTAGGTAGGTAGGTAGGTAGGTAGGTAGAAAAATAAATAAATAAATAAAAAACCAACAAGAAAATAGAATAAAATAAATACAGACCAGGTACAAGGCAGCCCAATCCTGTTTCACGTTTTATCTGTTTTTCCCAAATAGTGGAAATCTTTTCCCAATTTCACACATAAAGGGGTCAACAACCATGTCCTTCGGCCCCGCTCACACTTGTATGGCTTCTATAAGAGAGTACCCCCTGGGTCTAACCTTCAGCAGGGTGATGTCGTAGCTCAGTTTCATGATTTTTTTTCCCTTCTCCTCATTATCAAATGACTTGCGGTGTAAACTGGGCAACATGGGTCACAAAAAGGGGAGACAAAATAATCAAATGCATCCGATCCTTCAGAAATAGTTGCCATACATGTATTGACTAAAGGCTGCATTGTAAACATTTATTTTCATTATCGGCTTTAATTCAGGCTCTGTAGATCAATTTACTTTTTTTGGTTTTGGGGAAATGTAAATTCGTAAGAGATGCATTTGTTTAGAGCTAATAGGCTTAAACCTACTTTTTTGGAACTTAACAGCCTTTATTATTTTTTTCACACTTACACAGTGAATAAAGAAACCACAAATTACTTGTACTTCCAACAATCCCGATTTTAAAAATGCAATGTCTTTAGGTGGTGTTATTTGTTTTAATATCATGCGATCACGTCTTCGAAAAGAGTCGAGTTTTTTTTTTTCTGTTAAAATTGCGTTGAGATCTTAAAGTTCCCAAAGAGTTACTTAAATCCAAAAGGGTTCCTACAGTTATTTTTTTTGCAGTATGAAGAGGACTGAAAGGGAGTTAAGACTTTATGCCTTTGTCTATGAAGATAACAGTCAGTATTTCTTACCATGTAAAACTTTGACAGCCACCAGGTGTGGTGCTTTCGGCTTCCTGTTTGATACAGGCCATTTTGAAGTCTCAGTGACGAACGCCTCCATCTCGTCACTCTTTCTAAAGATTGCCTTGTAAACAACACCAAATTCTCCTCTCCCCAGCTCTTCATCAAACTCTATTTGCTCAGGCAGAATTTCCCACTTGTCAGGAGGAGTAATCTCGTCCAAGAGAAAATGGTCATTCTCTCTTGTCTTGTCTTGTAAATAAGATAACCTAGAAAAAGGGAAAAAAAAGATTGCCGGATTTTTATGCTGAGCACAATATCATAGTAACATATATAGAGGATATTACACGGTGGCGAGAAGATATGAATTTTATGTTCGAGTGGCAAGAACAATATCTCACGAGTGAGCGAAGCGAACGAGTAAGATATTGTTCTTGCCACGAGAACATAAAATTCATATCTTCTCGCCACCGTGTAATATTCTTTTTATTATATGGAGCAACCAATTCAACAAAAGCAAAAGGCGGGAATCGTGACGTCACTGAACGATACGACACTCACAAAGGTGACATACGAAAATACGCCACTCGGGTCCCGGATGAAGTGGCGTATGGCATCTACGAGTGGTTTAGTTCCCAGTAAAACACTCTCCTCCATATAATAAACTCGTATATCTGCAAACTTTACCAACAACAAAAATTATTGCACCTCAGGCTACTGGTGCATCGGAGGATAATGGCCGAAGCTGAGATGTTCTCCGCGTGAAAAAAAAAAGCTACATCAAAATAGCCGAGTGGGAACAAAAGAAACTGATTTTTTTTGTTAAAAGGACTATTCAGTCAAGGGCATCATTCTTCACAAGCAATGACTAAAAAAAAAGAATTCAGTTCAATTCTAATTCACTTTAGGCATAACTCTGTTCTCGTTTTCCGTATTTTCTAGTCCCGCGATCTTGTCTTGGAGCTAGAAAAGAAAGATGATTTTGAAGATAAACCGACTAGAAGCAGTGATATATTCCTTAACAGGAACTTTCAGATTGTGTTATTTGCCTGCTTGTCGTCATCATTAAAAGATAATTGAATGAATGGATGGATGGATTGATGGATAAATGAAAGAATGAATGAATGAATGCATGAATCATTCAGTCAATCAATCAATCAATCGATCAATCAATCAATCAATCAATCAATCAGAAACATTACCTTCTGCGATATACAACGACAAAAACCACGACAGCCGTAATCACAAAGGCTGCCACGGCAGGTATGATGACAAAAATCAGGTTAACTCCTCCTCCAGTATGTGGCTCGGGTTCTTTCCTAGCCGCCTGGTTCCCTCCACCTCCAGCTTGTTCTCCTAGTATTGGGCAATAATACTATAGTTATAGCCTATGCCAGGCTCTTAAATAGTAGCTAGGGACGTCGCCAAAATAAAACAAGACAAACGCAAATAAGACACGCATGATGGCGCCCTCTCTCTCCCCAGCCCCAATGCTTTTTCGCATCACTTTTTTACTGTACTACTGCACTACTATCCTGGAGCCTGGATCAGGGTACTTTAGTTAGGACCGTGCAACTGGTTAAGACATTGCCTTTTTTACAGTTAAGCTATTATACTAAAAACGACTTTCGTAAGACAGCAAACTATCACACCCTCCTCTAGCTTACACTTCCCGCATAGCCCACTCTTTTGAAAACCTTTCCTGATTATAAAAATTTAACAAAGTGGAGACGCTAGATTATTATAAATTTGCTGCATCCCGGACACGTACTGAAAAGAAAATCAGGTAAAAGATCTTTAACCGACTGATGCCAGCAGAGGTAAACTTAATTGCAAAATGAATCCGGGACTCGAAACCACGCCACATTGGTGACAGGCGAGTGCTCTCAACACTGCGCTTAAAAGTTGCGTAAGTCTCAAAATGCAACATAAACGCCAAAGAACTCTCAAATAAAGTGCAATTTTGATGAGGAAGGGCTCTTTACCCCAGGGGATACTCCCTTATGTAAGCCATATAGGGTATGTGCTACCCCAAAGGGTATGTATGGTTTTTGTGCCATTTCAGTCTGAAAACGGGTACCAACTTTGCTCATTTTGGTCTGCAATCTGGTGTGGTTTTCGAGGGAACCACAGGAGTGTATAAACGTATTTGTTGTTTCAATTCCAAATGAATAAGAAAGAAAGAGTAATATACAAATTCGAGATGGAATTTCAAGAAAGTTTTTTGTTGGCGTTGTAAACTAAGTAATGATGACATAATTTGTCAGTGGTCAGGACTGAAAACGGGTGTGGAAAATGACATGTTTTGGTCTGAAATAGGGCGAGGATTTAAAACACGGGGCGGCACACGCCCTCCAAGATTTCCCCGGAGTACCCCCTCTCGGTAAAGGTACAGTAGTTTGAGTTTGAATGGCTGCTCTCATTTGTTGAGCATGCAGTCTGCGTGCCTGCAGTCCATCACGGATAAAAACCAAGTTTAATTTACGGATCTTTAATATAAAGTAGGTCTATGTAAGCTTCCTTTTAGTGTACCCTTTTACTTTAAAAGGAGGTCCGTCATATAATGGAAACCTCAAGTTTGCAATCAAATCATGCTTACCTCTTGGTAATATCGTCATTGGGCTATTTATTTTGCTTTGGGGCGACGAACTAGATGGACCAGGCGTGACTGGGCCTCTAGATCCTATGGCAATCCGAGATACCAATGTAGAACCGTCTTCCGCCCCTGGCAAAGTAGGTCTCCCAAACCCTAAACCGGAGAAAGATTCGCAAAAAATTGCGTTACTTCCGATTGCTCCCAAATTTGGCACAAAGGAAGTTAATAGATTTAGCCAATCACCTGCCTAGTTCCAGCCCCTGTGGACTTTTGACCGTGACACACCGAGCTTTCGTAGGGAGGTAGTAAGGTAGATAGGTAGGTAGGTAGGTAGGTAGGTAGGTAGGTAGGTAGGTAGGTAGGTAGGTAGGTAGGTAGGTAGGTAGGTAGGTAGGTAGGTAGGTAGGTAGGTAGAAAAATAAATAAATAAATAAAAAACCAACAAGAAAATAGAATAAAATAAATACAGACCAGGTACAAGGCAGCCCAATCCTGTTTCACGTTTTATCTGTTTTTCCCAAATAGTGGAAATCTTTTCCCAATTTCACACATAAAGGGGTCAACAACCATGTCCTTCGGCCCCGCTCACACTTGTATGGCTTCTATAAGAGAGTACCCCCTGGGTCTAACCTTCAGCAGGGTGATGTCGTAGCTCAGTTTCATGATTTTTTTTCCCTTCTCCTCATTATCAAATGACTTGCGGTGTAAACTGGGCAACATGGGTCACAAAAAGGGGAGACAAAATAATCAAATGCATCCGATCCTTCAGAAATAGTTGCCATACATGTATTGACTAAAGGCTGCATTGTAAACATTTATTTTCATTATCGGCTTTAATTCAGGCTCTGTAGATCAATTTACTTTTTTTGGTTTTGGGGAAATGTAAATTCGTAAGAGATGCATTTGTTTAGAGCTAATAGGCTTAAACCTACTTTTTTGGAACTTAACAGCCTTTATTATTTTTTTCACACTTACACAGTGAATAAAGAAACCACAAATTACTTGTACTTCCAACAATCCCGATTTTAAAAATGCAATGTCTTTAGGTGGTGTTATTTGTTTTAATATCATGCGATCACGTCTTCGAAAAGAGTCGAGTTTTTTTTTTTCTGTTAAAATTGCGTTGAGATCTTAAAGTTCCCAAAGAGTTACTTAAATCCAAAAGGGTTCCTACAGTTATTTTTTTTGCAGTATGAAGAGGACTGAAAGGGAGTTAAGACTTTATGCCTTTGTCTATGAAGATAACAGTCAGTATTTCTTACCATGTAAAACTTTGACAGCCACCAGGTGTGGTGCTTTCGGCTTCCTGTTTGATACAGGCCATTTTGAAGTCTCAGTGACGAACGCCTCCATCTCGTCACTCTTTCTAAAGATTGCCTTGTAAACAACACCAAATTCTCCTCTCCCCAGCTCTTCATCAAACTCTATTTGCTCAGGCAGAATTTCCCACTTGTCAGGAGGAGTAATCTCGTCCAAGAGAAAATGGTCATTCTCTCTTGTCTTGTCTTGTAAATAAGATAACCTAGAAAAAGGGAAAAAAAAGATTGCCGGATTTTTATGCTGAGCACAATATCATAGTAACATATATAGAGGATATTACACGGTGGCGAGAAGATATGAATTTTATGTTCGAGTGGCAAGAACAATATCTCACGAGTGAGCGAAGCGAACGAGTAAGATATTGTTCTTGCCACGAGAACATAAAATTCATATCTTCTCGCCACCGTGTAATATTCTTTTTATTATATGGAGCAACCAATTCAACAAAAGCAAAAGGCGGGAATCGTGACGTCACTGAACGATACGACACTCACAAAGGTGACATACGAAAATACGCCACTCGGGTCCCGGATGAAGTGGCGTATGGCATCTACGAGTGGTTTAGTTCCCAGTAAAACACTCTCCTCCATATAATAAACTCGTATATCTGCAAACTTTACCAACAACAAAAATTATTGCACCTCAGGCTACTGGTGCATCGGAGGATAATGGCCGAAGCTGAGATGTTCTCCGCGTGAAAAAAAAAAGCTACATCAAAATAGCCGAGTGGGAACAAAAGAAACTGATTTTTTTTGTTAAAAGGACTATTCAGTCAAGGGCATCATTCTTCACAAGCAATGACTAAAAAAAAAGAATTCAGTTCAATTCTAATTCACTTTAGGCATAACTCTGTTCTCGTTTTCCGTATTTTCTAGTCCCGCGATCTTGTCTTGGAGCTAGAAAAGAAAGATGATTTTGAAGATAAACCGACTAGAAGCAGTGATATATTCCTTAACAGGAACTTTCAGATTGTGTTATTTGCCTGCTTGTCGTCATCATTAAAAGATAATTGAATGAATGGATGGATGGATTGATGGATAAATGAAAGAATGAATGAATGAATGCATGAATCATTCAGTCAATCAATCAATCAATCGATCAATCAATCAATCAATCAATCAATCAGAAACATTACCTTCTGCGATATACAACGACAAAAACCACGACAGCCGTAATCACAAAGGCTGCCACGGCAGGTATGATGACAAAAATCAGGTTAACTCCTCCTCCAGTATGTGGCTCGGGTTCTTTCCTAGCCGCCTGGTTCCCTCCACCTCCAGCTTGTTCTCCTAGTATTGGGCAATAATACTATAGTTATAGCCTATGCCAGGCTCTTAAATAGTAGCTAGGGACGTCGCCAAAATAAAACAAGACAAACGCAAATAAGACACGCATGATGGCGCCCTCTCTCTCCCCAGCCCCAATGCTTTTTCGCATCACTTTTTTACTGTACTACTGCACTACTATCCTGGAGCCTGGATCAGGGTACTTTAGTTAGGACCGTGCAACTGGTTAAGACATTGCCTTTTTTACAGTTAAGCTATTATACTAAAAACGACTTTCGTAAGACAGCAAACTATCACACCCTCCTCTAGCTTACACTTCCCGCATAGCCCACTCTTTTGAAAACCTTTCCTGATTATAAAAATTTAACAAAGTGGAGACGCTAGATTATTATAAATTTGCTGCATCCCGGACACGTACTGAAAAGAAAATCAGGTAAAAGATCTTTAACCGACTGATGCCAGCAGAGGTAAACTTAATTGCAAAATGAATCCGGGACTCGAAACCACGCCACATTGGTGACAGGCGAGTGCTCTCAACACTGCGCTTAAAAGTTGCGTAAGTCTCAAAATGCAACATAAACGCCAAAGAACTCTCAAATAAAGTGCAATTTTGATGAGGAAGGGCTCTTTACCCCAGGGGATACTCCCTTATGTAAGCCATATAGGGTATGTGCTACCCCAAAGGGTATGTATGGTTTTTGTGCCATTTCAGTCTGAAAACGGGTACCAACTTTGCTCATTTTGGTCTGCAATCTGGTGTGGTTTTCGAGGGAACCACAGGAGTGTATAAACGTATTTGTTGTTTCAATTCCAAATGAATAAGAAAGAAAGAGTAATATACAAATTCGAGATGGAATTTCAAGAAAGTTTTTTGTTGGCGTTGTAAACTAAGTAATGATGACATAATTTGTCAGTGGTCAGGACTGAAAACGGGTGTGGAAAATGACATGTTTTGGTCTGAAATAGGGCGAGGATTTAAAACACGGGGCGGCACACGCCCTCCAAGATTTCCCCGGAGTACCCCCTCTCGGTAAAGGTACAGTAGTTTGAGTTTGAATGGCTGCTCTCATTTGTTGAGCATGCAGTCTGCGTGCCTGCAGTCCATCACGGATAAAAACCAAGTTTAATTTACGGATCTTTAATATAAAGTAGGTCTAT